ATCATCTTTGTGTTCAACATGTGTCATTCAACAAGAACAATATCCGGTAGTCAAAGGTACACTGGATCATCTGTCGTCTACAGGAGCCAAAAAATCATGGTGAGCCTATATTATAGCCAACCTCCACAAATTCCTCATGGTGAGCCTATATTATAGCAGCTTTATGTTCCATCGATCCCATGTTAACTTGTGATGTGGATAGCATGTTCCATTCAAGATTTTGTGAGATTTTTTAATTGCGTTGCTCTAAAAGAGAGTTATAGTTTCAAGTCAGAGTCAGTCTTGAACAGATTAGGTGATAGACAACAATTGAAATTTTGTGATACATTTTAATTTCACTGCACTAAATAAAATGGTATACCCAATGTTGAAATCTCCCACACAAGATGGGGTCTAGGGAAGTGAATTTCTATGCAGCCTTATCCTTAATTATTAGGCATGATAAACTGCACTAAAATAGAATCATAATTTTAAGGTGAAGTATACTGTTTGGTCTTGAACAGATAAGGAGATAGTCAGCAGTTATGTAAGACTATGGAGGAACAGATAAGGAGATAGTCAGCAATTTATCATTTGTGGCTTGTGGGATTTGTACATGTACATAGTATCGTCCAAGGTCAAGGAGGTATCACCATTTGTACAGGATAACTTATATTCACTGTATAATTGCCTTCAACTACATTTTTGTGCAAATGATACGTCTGGCTTGGTGCTGAATTGATATTTGGCACTTGAGTTGTGTACTCCATCTGTGGCTGTATAGTTTTCCTGATTGAACAAAGACCATGGGCCTGTCTAGGTTGAGTTCATGCTTGTTAGTCTGACAAGTGGGAACCTATGACTGAAAGTTGCTCAGTTACATGTCTAAATAATTTATCACCGCCATTTGTTTTTAGATAATCTCTCACTGCTGTCATTCCGCCCATTTACTTACTTATGGTCTAGGCTTATTATCCCCTTTTCAATCTGCAGAACCCTGATTATGGTTCACAGGGGGAAGTGAGGCTTCCTTTTGCAGAAAAATGGATCCTCAAAAGTCAAAAGTTGGAGTCAGATTTGATAAACAGACTCCCAGGGGCATTGACAGACCTTGGAGGCAATTGTGAGCTTGACCATAGCCGATTCTGTTCAGGTATGTCTCTCATTCTCTCTTGTATTACATAAGCATCAACACACATAAATAGGAGGAGCAAACAAGCACTTACGTCTTCTTCATCTGTGCCTTCTCAGCATAGCGTTTCTTGGCGAACCTCTTGCCCTTAGCACCAAGCAACTACAACAGGCACAAGGGCACGCATCATCAGCAACAGGGGCACATGTACATGTACAGCAAAACCAAAAGGGGATAAACTTATCAGACAGGACCTCACCTTCCGGGCATCCTGCGAGCGCCGGTGCACCTCGCGCGCCTCGCGCTTTCTCTTGCGCTCGTCGTGGTCCAGGCGCCGGCCATGGCGCTTCTGGTGCAGCTCGATGTGGTCTCCCTGCGGCTGCAGGGGGGGAGTCAGCACGAAATGTGTAGAAATAACAGAATCGCTAAAAAATGATTGAGTAAATGGGAAGAGCGGGGAAGACTGAGACAGATCGGGAGCTAGCTAGGGGCAAGGAGAGGTCTCAGATTCTCTGAGGCGGCGCGGAGAAGGGTCGGGGAGCTTACCATGGCGGCGGTCGGGGTTTGGGTGGGGAGAAAATTGAATATTTGACACCCCAATCCGGAGGCCGGTGAACATTTGACATGCGTCCTTGAAAATTTAATATTCTGGCTGTGAATTCATTCAAAACAGGTGTTTTCTTCTTCTTTTCTTTATTTAACATTTTTTTTACTTTCTAAGGCAACGTATTTTGGTCTTATCCATTCATTTCTTTTGAGAAACGAACGCATCTCTCTCTCGTACTCATTTTTCTTCGGCTCTGTTCGTCACGCCGCCGCCGCTCTTCTTTGTTCTTCACGCCGCCGCCGCCGGGTGCCGGAAGAGGCACTTGCCACTGGGTGGCGCAGGTGTGAGGCGGTCATGCGGTGTTGGACGAGCCGGCCCATGCGCGTCTTGACGGACGGTCGCCGATCTTTGAGCACCGGCGCTAGCCAAAGCTCATTGCCTTTCGGCTCCGCCGCTGATGGAGGCCATCGGCGCAGCCCAGAGGCGCCGCAATGGTCGAGCAACAGCAGGCCAAGGTACTTTGGTCATTCAGCGTTGCCTTGGAAAGCAAAAGAAAAAAGAAAAAAATGTTAAATGGAGAAAAGAGGAGAAAACACATGTTTTCAACTAATTCGTAGCCAGAGTATTAAATTTTTAACGACACACGAATTAGATGTCAAATGTTCACGGACATCCAGATTGGGTGTCAAATATTCAATTTTCTCGTGGGTGGAGGAAGGAGGAAACGAAAACGAAAACGAAGAGAGCAACCGTAGCCGGGCTTATAGTTTTTATTTTATTTTAGGAAAAGCCGGGCTTATAGGTAGGCTTTGTGCACTATTGGCGGTCCTAACGTTTGGGCCTGTACAACGTGGCCCATATAGAGACAAGCAGCGCATCTCTTCCAAATTTTATTTTCAACAGCGTTCACTCGTTTTTCAATCCAGCAAACGGTCCGACCAAACGAACACTCTCCACTACGCGTTGCTCCTTCTCCTATAAAGCTTACGTTATTCTCTGTCTCTCCCTTGCTTCTTTCTGTTACACGGAGCGGAGCTTGCCGAGCCATTCGAGTCCCACGCGCGCAAGTGCTCGCACGCTAACCGCATGTGTAATTTTTAAAAAATAAAAGTTGTGAATTTTTTTTCTAAAAAAGAAAAGTAAAAAATTATGATGATAAGTTGTTCTGTAAAACGCTATGCACATAATTTATATGCATAACTTGTGTTGATAAGTTGTTCAAAAAAATTAGGGCCTCTTTGGCCGGGCTCCTGCCTGCTCCGGCTCCTGCACTGTAGCAGGAGCCGGAGGAGCCCAAAAAAGCAGCTTCTCCCCCTCTGAACGGCTCTGTGAGAGAGGAAACGAAGAGAGAGAAAACTGGCTCTGGTAAACAGTGTCCGCACAGGGGCGTGAACAGTGCGTAGCAGAGGGAGCCGGAGCCGCCCGGAGCTGCACCAAAGGGGGCCTTAGAGCTCACAAAAATATCCGGTCACGAGCCAGACAAGGATGAGGGAAAGAGACCTTGTTTGGCCCAAGTCACGAATAAACAGCGTCTTCGACCTCTAACAAACATCCATAGGTACACCCGTTTCTCAAAAAAAAATCATAGGTACACCAGACGATTTTCGACAATATATATCTCTATCTCTATGACTAAAAAATACGATTGAAAGACTCTACCCGGTAGGACGATGTGCGTCGACCCGCTTTGCTCTGCCCGACCATGGTGAAGCCTTAATTAGTTTTCTCCGGGGTCACGCGATCGACACTGGTCTGACTTTTTAAGAAGGAAATGCTCTAGCGATAGCCCGCCTCCCCGAAGATTTTCTTTTCCCCTCCCCTCCCACGAAAAGTTTTGCTGGGTTTTCTTTTTTGCACCGCAGTCACCTTGGGTTTTTCCCGGTCTTCATTCTCACCGCAATCACAACATGCACTGATCGTCATTGTGCTTCTTCGATCAGTATTGTACATGCTGCCAAAGCATCCACAGTCCACAAGTACACCTGCGTGCACAGTATAAAAAAGAATGGGATAAAACGAATGAATGACAACTTATCATGATTGAAAAAAACATCACATAGCAAAGCGTCGGTGTACCTTCCAATTATTAATTAGGCAAAAAAATTGGAGGGGCTCAAGGGGTTGGGGGGGGCGGAGGCTCTAGGAGCTACGCGGTGATAGGGGGGCTCGAGCCCCCTCCGCCCCACTTGATCCACTCCTGAATGTCGGCGGCCTCGCCATCGGTCCTTTCAACTATCGACGGGGTGTCTTAGCTTGTGTGGGAAGTTGTTGTAGGGCTCCTTGATCTCTGCGTTGCCCCCTGCCCTGTATAAATAGAATAGCACTCAGCCGCTCTACACACACAACTACTTAGGCCATGCTTAATTGAGCCATTCTTCATGCTGCCCATCGGGCATGGCTAATCTAACCATCTGCAGTGACACACATGGCCGATGAGAGATGCAGGTGGTCTAGGCCAAGGAAAAGGTCCATTCTATCTCCCGATACAAGTAATTAAAAAAAAAACATTTATACATCTATTAGAATAATTTTGGAAATTTCTAGGTGTTTTCCTCATTTTTCTAGAGCTAAGTCTATTTTTAAGCATTTAGAGATATTTTTGTGAGCTCTAAATATTTTTATTTGGATTTAGTGTATCCCAATCAAATCTTTCTAGAATTTTAAATGTGTATAAATATTTTTATGGTTTTAAAAACTTTGTCAAGTATTTACCCATTTTTTAACTTTAAAACCACATTTAAAATCGCTCTATATAGGACATAGAGGTAACTTGAAGTAGTTAAGTTTTTTTTTAGGAACACTTTTCACTTGAACTAGTTAATTTCTTTTTTCTCGAATACCACTTGAACTTGTTAATTTCTAGGAGAAAATATCAGAATACGGCGATAGTAGTTTACAAAGGTGCATGCATAGTGCTCGTGGGCTCGTGGGCTGGTGGCCCATCAGAATCAGATGAGACGAAGCAAAGCAATGGCATGCACGCCGTGGGTGCTCTGCTGCCGCGGTTCCCTTCCCTCTCGGCTCTCGCATTCCGTATTTCCGTTGACGTGGACCCCACCCTTTTCACCTTGGCTCCGTGCCCGTGTGACCGTGCTATGCGCAACCGCCAAGCGGCGGAGCAGACAGCCGTCGACGACGCCGCCACCAACTTGCTCGTCAAGCACTGCTCCTTCCCCTGCCTATAAAATCCCCGTCCCCTTCCCTGTAGCAGGCACGCCACACGGATCAATTCAAATCCAACTCCCAAACCAACCGCCTCGGCCCACGCCTCGCCACCCTCCCATTCCCCACGCCCCAAGCACCGCAGTGCAGCCGCATCGCCTCGCGCTGCTAGCGCCAGCCATGTCGGCGTCCGAAGCGGCGGCGGAGTCGTCGTCGCGTGCCCGCCAGGACGCGGACGCGGAGCCGGAGCCGCCGCAGCGACGCTGGGTGGCCCTCGTCTCCACCGCGGTCATCCTCCTCGACGGGGACGAGCGTGCTCGAGCGATGCCCCTCGGCACGAACGTCGAGCTCGACCTCCACGACCCTCCACAGCCCTCCTACCTGGTGCTGCACCCCCGCATCGTCGCCCTCGACCCCTGCTACTTCGCCCATCAGCCGTCCGCCTACATCCTCGCCGCCGACCGCTCGGGCCGCCTCCTCTTCCGCGTGAACAACCCCGGCAGCAACGACCCCGCCGAGGACGAAGTCATGTACCTCTGCGACACCCACGCCCGCCGGGCCACCACCCTGCTCCCGGCCCCCTACCCCTTTCTCCGCATCGAGCCGCGGCCACGCCGCAGCGTCGGCCTCATCGCCGACCCCGACCCGCGCCGCCGCGGCCACTACCTGGTCGCGCAGCTCTACCCGCGCGAGTCGGTCCTCCACGGCGACAAGCTGCTCTGCTACTCCACCGCGACGTTGCAGTGGTTCCTCAAGCCGCTGCTCACCTCCTCCTCGGTGCGCATGCGCAACCCCTGCGCCGAGACCGGCGTGCTCGCCCACGCCGGCCGCCTCTACTGGCTCGCCCTCGCCTACGGCGTCTTCGTCTGCGACCCCTTCGCCGCCACCTCGCACCTGCGCTTCGTCCCGCTGCCCCGCGACTGCGAGATTCTGGAGGAGCTCTCCCACCGCGTCTACGTCGCGCAGCACCGCCGCGTCGCGCCCAGCGAGGGCCTGCTCCGCTACGTCGAGGTGCGGGGCCTCTCCTACGAGGTGCACGTGCCTCCCGACGTGGTGAACCCCAGCGTCTGGATGTGGACGCTCGTCGACTCGGAGGCGGCGGAGCCCTGGAGGTTCGAGTACGAGGCGCCCTTCGCCGAGGTCTGGGCGCACGAGTCCTACGCCGCCGCCGGGCTGCGGCACGGGGAGGTGCCCCACGTCGCCCTCGTCGACCCCGACGACCACGGCGTCGTCTACTTCCTCCAGGGCTCCAAGCTCTTCGGCCTGGACGTGCGCGCCAGGCGGGTCGTCTCCTGCGAGGACTGCTCGGTGCGCGACGACCGCGAGATCATGCTCCGAAACTCCCGCCCCATCCTCGACGCCTGGGAGCTGTCGCCACCCTCGCCTCCCCGGAGTCCCCGCACCGAGCCTTCTTCACCATCTCCTCCAGAAGGTGATACATCACTGCTTCTTCTTGTTCTGATAACTGCATTCTCCGATTCATTAGTTAATCGATCTAATTAATGCTGCATGTCTTCGTTAATGGTCACACTGTCCTCCCGTCAGGTTATAAGGAAGCTAGCTAGGGTTCTTGCTTGCTGTGTCGTAGTATCTGCGCATCATGCTTCTGCTATATGCATGCAAAACCATACTAGCTGAATTGACGGATACAATTGCATTGGGAGGTCCACATGCATGTTGTGCTCTCCAGTAGTCCAGTTTTTGGGAATTGAACTTGACATGCGAGATCACTGTCTGACCACCATTGATAAATGTATATATGTTCAGTACGTACGTTTCTAGGTGTTGTTTGAACATTACAGTACAATTACGACTCCGAAGCCAAATCAGATATACTAGCAGTTCCGTGATATCTATCATCACTGATCATACTAGTCTGGAGATGACAGGCAACAGCAGCATATATGCATATTCCAATCTTTCATGCAAACAGCAATGCACGGAATGAATGGAATTCTTCTCTGAACAAAGTTTCATGCATTGCTGTTTGGCATCGATCGATGTTGCTCAGATCTGATTTTACTAGCAAGCATTTATTAATTTGGATAGATCTGGATCGCTAATTGCTTTTGCTTGCTGACCCTGATAAATTGCTGCTGTTTTGCATGCAGAGCTTGACGCCGTCGGGAAGATGGAGAGGGAGAGGTACGATCGCTCGGTGATCCAGTACGTTCAGTCTTGGCTAGAGGGGATGGAGCTGACGAGCGAGACGGGCGAGGGACAGTCGTCGTCGTCGTCGTGATGAGAAATGAGATGATGACCATCTGAATATAATCCATCTCCTCTCGCCGGCGGCTTCCATTTGTTTCCCCTGGTGGTTAGTAGTGTTCTTGCCTGCAGCTTTCTGTCAGGATACATCTCGTTCTGAGTAGATTAGTAGTGTTCTTGAATTCTAAGGAACCATCGTCTCATACCAGAATTGATCGCCGTTATGAACAAACAGGCTTGGGTAGGCTGTACTTGTAGTACTCTGCAGTATCCGTGGTGTGGTTCGTTCTGTTTGTCCGAGAGAAGAGAACGTGTGCTCTGCTGTGCCTCTGTTGGCAAAGTCGATCTGCATCTGCTAATGCAAATGGAATTCAGTTTTGATTCCTCTTGCACGAAGTCCGGTCCATTTCGTCAAGTTTATCCTAGCCATGGTTTGGCGACGAGGATCAACGGCGTCTTGAGCCGGACAGAGGGACCGTACACCTCGCTCAAGTCCACGGGCGGCGTCCCCACGCCGCCGCGGTGCGCCGTCGGCGCGGCCCAGTCGAAGTGATACAACAAGTTGGCGAGCGCGAGCTCGACGGTCGGCGCGGCGAACCCGGCGCCGGGGCAGCCCCTCCTCCCGGCACCGAACGCCACGGACCTGAAGTCCTGCCCCACTCCCACCTTGCTGTAGCTGTACTCCACCGGTGGCGCGCCCGCGCCGCCGACGAACCGCTCCGGCACGAACTCCTCCGCGCGCTCCCACGCCGCGGGGTCCTGGCCGATGGCCCACGCGTTGATCACCACCCGCGTGCGCGTGTTTCAAGGTATCCTGTCAACTTCCTCTTTGTTGCCACAACATCTCGGTTGTTTGAAGGTATTCAGTTATACTCATGCCAGTGCTACCTGGATCTATTTATTTCACTGTATAATCTACATGACCTCATATTGTTTGCCAGACTCATTAGCTTCGTTTCTAAATAATCCAGGGTTTACAGATCATACACTTGATGCGGCTGTTGTATTAACGAATATGTATGTACTAATTTATATTTTACTATAGGCACTTAATGCTAATTTTTAAAAACTCCATAATCACAACTATGATCTAGACAGTTCCGGAGGCTACCTGGAGCCAACAAGAATTGCAGTTAATGAACTTGCCAAAAGTTCACAGTCCACATACTATCTATGTACATGTCATTCATGTACACGAAACATTTACTTTTCTATCTAAGCAAAAGCCTTCTAGAGTCCATTTCCTGTTCTTATGCAGTCCAACAGATACATAGTCAATGCAAAGATCAAATGTGTGGTTCCAAATTAATCACGGTGCCATGGTGGTACCTTGCATGCACCATCCCTGTGTGCAATAAAAGAGCTACACCCATGGTCATGGCTACAAATGTTAGTAGTCCTAAATGTCCTAGAACAAGTGCTGCCCTAACGTGCGATGGTTCACTCTTTTTTATGTATAGTTACGTTCATTTCTTTTCAAAATATTGGTATGGCCATTAGAACACACACGCTCATAGTTTCTGTATAATAAGATGTCTGCAAAATATGGCAAACTTTTCTAACACCAAATTCTCTCACACACAGGTGTTATATCGTGTCCCTGTATTTGTTAATTGTTGTTGACCAATGAACAACATTATCATGGCATATTGGCAGTTAATCTGTTCTTCTTTATGTCAAACACAGAGGTAAGTCAAAGGTTGCCTCCCAGTTATGCTCTCATTGATGATACATGATAGTGATGATGGTTTTGAAGCATTCATCCCTACACTTATTTGTTTCTTTTTGGAAATATTAATGTGGCCATTAGAACACGTCTTAGTTTCTGTACAATAAGATGTCTGCGAAATATGGCAACTTTTCTAACACCAAATTCTCTCACACACAGGTGTTATATTGTGTCCCTGTATTTGTTATTGACCAGTGAACAACATTATCATGGTGCCTTGGCGGTAAATCTGGTCTCCTTTACGCCAAACACAGAGGTAAGTCAAAGGTTGCCCAGTTCATGCTCTTATTGATGATAGTGATGATGGTTTTGAAGCGTCCATCCCTACACTTAATACCGACACACCATGCATGCCCGTTTGATATCACTACTAGGAAGAATATGCCTGTTTAATAATATCACTTTTTTCACGATTGTGCCGAGGCACGTTTTTCATTAAAAGAAGAGAAATTACAGCAGTCTTAATAAGCCTAGGCTTACCAAGACTAACATGATCCTTGAAAGACTAGTAACAAAGACTACCTACACGGTCTTAGTAATAATATCACTTGTGCTTGCATTTTCTACGGTAATGTCCATGCCACCATAGCCAAAAGGCAAAGCGGAGGCTGGATCTTGCCACTTCTATACAAGATCACACATAAATAGATTATTACATTTATTATTGTTCTCTCCCTGTGTTGATGCAGGTTACAGGTGCACCAACGAATTGGGGTGCTCCTCCACTGTCCATGCACGCCATGCTAAGAAAAGACTCGCACTGTGTTCGTGCCCTCCTTTTGAAATTACACAACTGCGGTTTTCAATGAAGGGCGATGCTTATGTTGCTGTGCAGCTGCTATATTTGTGTAAATAATAAAACCTTGCGTGTCATGCTAAGACTAACTGATACAATGCAACAGTTGGCATGTAGCGAAACTCATTAGTGCATTACACATGCAACAACTGGTCCTGTATATTGCATTCTTCCAAGACATGCACTGTGCAGGCATATACCGAATTAAAGACAGCATCAGAAGGTGAAAATGCTTATGAGACCCTATCACTTTTCGACCTTCATACAGCCTGTTCGGGAGGCCGTAAACGATAGTGGATTATTTACTACTGGCTGGTTTGGTGCAAGAGAAAAACACTGTTCCGGCTAAAAATTTACGATCGTTTACGACCAAGCGAACAGATTGTCACCAGTGGGGCTGCCACGTCTCATAACACAGGCATGATGCCGGCGCAGCGGAGCGCGCCCATATGTGCTAGTTAGTATTTGAACCGTGTATTGAAACTCTGCGCTGAGATCGATTGACCTAGCTAAATGCATGCGCATTCATTAATCTCTCATTTACTAGCTCATCACATCACTACTCCCTGTCCACAAAAGGACGTAAATCTCGCGTTTCGAGAAAACAAATGTTTTCAACTTTGATCTAAATTTTAGGAAAAAATATTAACAATTATGATACAAAATAAGTATCATTAGATTAATTATAAAATATATTTCCAAAATAAATTGATTTAGAGACATAAATGTGAATACTATCACTTTAAATTTGGTTATATTTGAACTAATTTGTTAGGTACATATACCATAGTTGCATTCTTTATGAACGAAGGCTAGCTAGGCACCAACCTCGGCCCATGCACACGCATGCAGAAAACGATTAATCCCGTATGCCACTTTACTTTAGAATTGGTCGTACACGAGGAAACATACAATGAAGCTCTCCCAAACTCCACGGTGGAGCTCTCCCAAACTTTGTTGTGGACGGTACCTGGAGCCCAGATCCATGACGACATGGAGCTGCTCTATGATGGATCTACTGCTCTAAACCTGATTTTTCAACAATGGAGCTCTTCCAAACATGACCTTAATTTCTTATTTACTCGCAAAATAAATTATTCTCTCATTTACTAGCTCACATCACTACTAGCTAGGCACCAACCCCGGCTCATGCACACGCATGCGGGAAATTAAACCATTAATCACGTGTACCACTTTAGTTTAGAAATGGTCGCACACAAGGAAACATACGCTGGGACATCGAACAAGTTTTGACCACACATGGAAGTTTAGAAATGGTCGCACACAAGGAGTAATGTACAGAGTGCTCGGCTGGCACAGCTGGTTAATTAGGTGCTGTTTGGTTATAATAGCATTGTAATGTAAAGGGAATGGGATTAAAGCTGTGGATGTTACCGTAAGGGAATGGGAATCTGCGTTACTGTTGCAAGAATCTTGAGAGATCTACTTCAGCGAACACACACTTGCTCTCTCTCTCTCTCTCTCTATATATATATATATATATATATAGAACTACTGTTCTATAGCTGGCTATAGAATAACTTATTCTGTGACCACTTTGAGTTACGATAATTACTATTCTAATTTACGAGATTACAGTAACTCCTTACTAAGTGATTTACTATAGCATTATGGTAAATATCACCGTGAGTTGTAGTAACACGAGTATCGTAAATGCATATTCATGTTATCGTAAATTGATACAAACATTATCGTAAATCAAGGTGGCTATAGAATAAGTTATTCTATGGTCAGCTGCTGAATAGTCTTACCCTATATATATATATATATATATATATATATATATATATATATATATATATATATATATATATATATATATATATATATATATATGTGTGTGTGTGTGCACTGCAACAACTGCTTATTAGCTCAGGATCAAATTAAATTAAAGATCCAATATGAGGAACAACATTGCGATGGCCATGCTCTTGTTCGCTATGCTTTTTGGATCCCTGGTGTTGCCTACGGAGTGTAAGTATATTTATACATGATTATGGATCCTTTCTTCCTCCTTACGATTCGATTTAAGAAAAGCTTGTCCCATTTTACTACTAATAACAATCAACGACTTTGTCTATTATTCAAGGGAAATGTAGGTGTTTGGTAGTAAAATTTTCACTTTTTTTTCTTCTCTGAATTTATATATATGATTATATATTTGATGTGCGTTTCTGATGAAGGACGACGCCAAATAATATCGCAGGTCGCCGTCAGCTGCTAGGGGGTGATAGGAGTTCTATTATTCCTACGACGATTATCAACTCCACGACGACGTCATTAGAGGAGAGAAAAGTCAAGTTGATTTTTTGCACCACGGTGAACTGCAACTACTTTGATCCCTTGTATGACACTTGGTATTGTTGTCCGGATGCGAGCAGCAAAGGGATTTGCCACTTAACCTTAGAAGAGTGCAGGGCCAGCTGCGCCTTATGCCAACCCATATGCTAGCTAGCTTGCCATCGATTCGGTTAATGATCGATGCAACGAGTTCAGGTCGGCCGTACGTACAGCGTTCCTAATAAAACTACCGTCGCTTCGGTTTAATTTGGAGAAAAAAAAATAATGTACATCGCATCAGTGTATATGACGTAGTTTTGCTGTACACGCTTTATCAAAAAAAAAAAAAAAAACGTGTGCACACATGTCGATGGCTATGCAACAATCAGGAAAGCAATTGCTCCAGTGTACATATTTCTTGCACTTGGACTTGGTCCTTTGTTTCAAATTGTAATAAGTCACTTGTTCTAAGTCAAGTTTGCTCACCTTGACCAAATTAATCGAAAATGGCATCAATACGGTGTGTATGTGTATCCATAACATCATTATCTAAAAAAATGTGTATCCATCCATAACATCAAATTAGTTTCGTCATCAAATTCTTCCTGAAATATGACAGTGCACTTATCAAGAACTTATATATCAATCAAAAGTAGAGAAGTTCGGCTTACACAGAAATTAGAATAATAATTAATGGCCACAAATTGGTATCCTATTGAAAAAATTCTACTCCATGCAAGAACTAAAGCATCACATACTAACATTCATCGAAACCATCATATAATTTGCTAAAAATTAAATAGGTTCGTTGACACCAACCTTTTGAAGGATGGTTTCACCACAATTTGAATGCCTTACTCAAGATCTAATTGAAGAGTGCTCTCTAAAATAGAGAAATAACTAGCATGAGAATCAAGCAATCTAGTCATAAAACAATTGAAAAGCTACAAATTCAAAAAAGTGGATGCCTGTTTATAACCTTAAAGGCAAGAACACTATGTCCATCCTTCAAAATCCAAGACCTTCCATGAGTATTTTGGTGAAAACGATAGAGGGAGCGAGAGGTGGGGAAAGATGCTCCTTGGATGAGTGTGCTCGGGATGGGAAGAAGGAGGGACGAGAAAGGAGTAATTTGTATTGTGTACACATAACACTGTCAGTTCAAGCCACACGCTGACAATGATACGCTCTACCTCACTGCCAATCCAAGCAACAAGCCGATAATGATATTTCACTGCCGGTTTAAGACACCAGCCGACAATGATAGTTATAGTGTCACTACCGGCTTGTGGCTTAAATCGGCAATGAAATGTCATTGCTAGCTTGTGGCTCGAGCCGACAGTGATATTGACCTTCACCGCTGGGTCACTAGGACCCCCAATCATTTCCGAAATTTTAATTTATGACACGTCGGTGAAGGGTTATCACTACCGGTTTTTAAGCAACTGTGATTATCAGTTCTGTAGTAGTGATAGAGAGAGTTTCTTAGCACGATTACCAACTCTCTACGAGTCACGAAATTAAGTGTCTATAAAATCATAGAACGAAACTTTTCATTGAGAGTGAGAATTTCATTCATGTTTTATTTCATTAATCTCTCCCTCTCTCATTTACTAGCTCACATGCAAAAACCATTAATAATAACGTGCGCTACTTTACTCTATAAATGGTCGCCACACAAGGAAACATACGCTAACTGGTTAATTAATTTTAACATGCATATAAATCCATAACTTCAGTTATCACTCTGCAAGTCTGCATAACGTACAGCGTTCGTAATAAAACTACCGTCGTCTCGGTTTAAGTAATTTGGAGCAAAGTATAATGTACATCGCACGTAGTTTTGCTATAGACGTGCACACAGATGTTCGATGGCTTTGCAAATCATCAGGAAAACAATTACTGATTCGTGCTCCCGTGTACCATTTCTTTCACTTGGACTTATTAGTCCTTTTTGTTTCAAATAGTAAATAACTTGTTCTTTCATACGGAAATTCTGACGGGTATCTGATGGGGATATGCGCCGATGCGCTCCTGAGAAACCCTAGCCGCCCGCCCCTGGCCCCGGCGCCCGCCTCCCTCTCCCTCCCCTCTCCCCATCCGCCACCCACGCCCCTCCCCAGCCGAGCCCGGAGCCGACCGCGCAGCCCCAGCCGGCGGCTCCATGCCCGCCTCCACCGCCGGCAGCGGTGGCCACCACCTCGGCACCGCCGCCCACCTCCCCCTCCCCTCCACCCTCCAGATCCGCCGCCCACGACCCTCCCCAGCCGCGCGCGGAGCCCACCATGCCCCAGCCGCCCGCATCTCGACCTGGCGCCGCGGTCAGTGTCAGCTCCCTGCCACGCGCGAGTGTTGGCGCTGGCTTGGCCACCACGCGACCGGCCTCCCCTTCCTCCTTCCCCTCCGCGGGCTACTCCACAGCGCCGTGGCCCCTCTACGCCACCATCGCCGCTGCCGGCTCCAGCGACGGTGGGTACCTCCCTCGACTCTGCTAACCTTTCTTCCCCCACGCGCGCCGCAACTCCTTCGCGGCGTGGCCCTAACGCCGGCGCCGGTGGTGGCAGCTCGCACGCGAGCTGCTCGCTGCAGGAGACGGGGCCCGAGTCACCTGCTCAGCCAGTGGATGGCCGCATCCCCGCACACCAGCGGCTCAGCCCTCGCGTCACGTCTTCCCGACGACGGGTCTCCGCCCCTAACGCTGATGGGTGGAGGGAGATCCTTCCTCGACAAGAGGCGCGGCCTGCGGACGCCTCGGTTGAGCCTCACCAAGAGCAGCTCTGTCAGCTCGGAGGATCCCCGCAGAATTTCACGATAGATGTTTCAACTGCCTCTCCTACTCGCACAGAGTAGCGACTGGCCGGTTGCCACGGCGTTGTCTACGTTGCCACGGCTTCGGCCACCTCGCCAGGGACTGCAAGCGGATCAGGTATACTGCGAAGACGAAGGGTGGCGTTGCTCGTGGAGATGAGGCACCGACCCCACAGCACACGCGCCCACGGTGGCCCGTCGAGTTCGATTGGGGCCGCAGGGGGCGCCGGCAGAAGCCCGCGACGACGCTGGCGGCGCCGGAGCAAGCCGGCGAGCGACACCACCATGGACGCACCCAACGCCTCCGTCGACAACGCTACTACCTCTGCCATTGCACACTACCTCCACGTCTGATCCGCTGGTGCTGGAGCTATGCGTGAGCACGGGACCTCACGAGTGGGTCAACCCAATGCTGGAGGAGTTCGCCGCCTCGCGCGTTGTCAGTCGGTCACCAAAAGAACCAGGGCCTGTGTGTCCGCCCGCCACGATGACTGCTCCTCAGGATGAGGAAGCATCACTGGTGGACACCAGTTCTCCAGCGAAGGCTTGGACGACGGGCGGCCGAGAGCGAGGAGCAAGGACCGGACGCTGGCCCTGGCTTCTCCGCCACGTCTGGTCACTTTTTGAGAGGAGGCGTTTTAGCGTGACTGGACGCGCAGGGGCAGCGTCAGGTGGATGCTGACGTACGCTGGCGTCAGCATCGCGAGCGCACGGAGAGGAACGGAGTGTTGACCGGACGCTGGGGCATGTCAGGTTACTTGAAACCGCAAGGTAGCTCTAGTGGATTACTCGTGTCATTGAGTTACCTCACTTGTGGGTAGGTTCTTGCGGTGTCTAATTGTGTGGACGAGGTTTGTGCAACACCTCTTAGCCGCCGAACCACAAAGTGTTGGTCGACACAACGGGGACTAGCGTGTCGGTAAACACGTGAACCTCAGGAGTAAAATTGCTGGTCTCTTACCCATTTGTATTCTCCCGGTTATTGTATTGGCATTCATATTGTGATTGGTTCATCCATCTACACGACGGTATAAGCTTTCCACTCACTCCTTTACTTACTTGCAAACTAGTTGTAACAAGCTCTTTAGTGTAATTAGTTTTGAGAGCTTGTTTTGCTTGCTAGTTAAGTCCACCTAGTGGAGCTCTTTAGTAGCAAGTTTGAGAGCTCTTAGTGAGTAGCAGCTTAGCCTCTTTTGTGTCTAGTGATCATAGCAACTAGAATTATTTGGTAGGTGACTTGCAACCCTTGTAGAGCTAGAGCAAGTTTGCATTTCGTTGTTTAATCAAATTGCTCTAATGATCTTATAGATTTTTAAATAGGCTATCCACCCCTCCTCCCTCTAGCCATATTAGGACAGAGGCCGCCACCACCATAGCCGGATGGTTTGGAGCGAGTGGGACACCAGCAGCAGGAATGGGGTGGGTGCTTGTTTCTCTTTCTCCTCGTTATGCGATTGTGGCAGTGCCATACTTTAGTAGGAGGGTAGGGAGGGAGTCCAATTGGGCCAGCCACAATGAAATCCCAGGTCCATCGAGTGCCGGTGGGCTGTAGCCGTTCTTCTCCATGAAAGAAAAAAGGAAAAAAATATATGTGACAGGAGGAGGTGTTTCACTAGAGTGGGGTTTGTTCATGAAAGCCGGAGGTCCAATGTTGACGCTCATACTCTAGCCAGAAGCTCAGTTAATTTGTCGTTAGAAGGCATGTTTGGTTCATCACTCCACCTGGTAGAGTTTTGTACTTCATACTCTATTGAATAAAGAGATCGGCTTCTTCTAAAAAAAACTACTGCTAGGGAGTAAGAAGAGAGAGGTGGAGACACAGAAGAGACGGGAAAAGATGAGGGTGGTCAAGAGAGTGCCAGCATAAGAAGAGATTAGGTAGAAATAAGTCTTTTTTTAAGAGACGACTAGTATTTTTAGCCGTCTATAAATCATATTTCTAGAAATGGCTAAAAGAACGGATGGTAAAGACCAGCCATCCCTGCCGGGAAGATTGCCAAGGGCGATTCATAAGTTGTGCTCCACAAGGAGACATTTGTAAAGGCACTTCTTAATCGTTCACTCATCTTTGAAAACCGTTTAGTGTAAATCTTGTAGAATAGAATTATTCACGTTTATGCAATTGAACGTCGCACATCATGCTATACAATTACACAACCAAAAATAACGCACACATGTTTTGATCCTACTACCAAAGACATGATGATCTTATTGAGGATACCATGGCTTAGCAACCAAACGTAGGATTGCCTTGAGCCTTACGGATAGCCCGTTCAGCTCCTCCATCTCCACCTTCGATGCCCCGCCGGCCGGCATCGCCCAGTCAAAGTGATACAGTAAGCTCGCCAGAGCCAGCTCCATGGCTGGCGCGGCGAACCCGACCCCAGGACATCCTCTCCTCCCCGCGCCGAACGGCACGAACCTGAAGTCCTGCCCAAGCAAGTAGTCCGTCTTCACGTCGTCGTCGCCGTTGAACCGCTCCGGCACGAACTCGTCGGCGCGTTCCCACGTCGCGGGGTCCCGTGCGATCGCCCAAGCGTTGACGATGACGCGAGTGCGCGCCGGAACGTGGTAACCGAGCAGCTCCGTGTCATCCATCGTCTCGTGGGGCAGCAGCAGTGGCAGTGGCGCGTGCAGTCGGAGCGTCTCCTTGATCACGCACTTGAGGTAACGCAGCTTCTCGAGGTGGTCCTCGGTGACGACGTCGCTGCCACCGCCGCCGACGACCCCGCGGATCTCGTCTTGGACCCTGAGCATCTCCTGTGGGTGGTTGACGAGCTACGCCATGGCCCATACCAACGTGGTGTAGGTCGTGTCCGTGGCGGCGGCAAACAAGACCTGGACATGCTATTCTTGTTTACATCTCCAAATTATGATGATCGCTACATCTCCAAATTTTGATGCATATGACGTACCAGGATATTGACCTTGATGGCTACGTTGTCAAACTTGACACCGCCGGCCTCCTCCTCGATCCGCCTCGTTCACGTCCAGCAGCACGTCGACGAAGTCCCGGTGATCGTCTTCTTCCCGCCGCCGGTTGCCATGACGCCTCTGGCGGTGGTCCGTGATGACCCGGTCGAGCAAGGCGCCCATCTCCTCCGACGTGCGCGCCGCCTTGGCGTCCAACCCCATAAGAGTGTCGACCCACGCCAGCCACGGCACGAGCTCCCCCACGGTCACCGTCCCAAGCAGCTCATCGAAGTCAGCGAACAGCTCCGCGAGCTTCTCACCCTCGCCGCCGTCGAGGCCGTAGCTCCGGCCGTCGTCGCCGAAAACGGCACGGGAGATGACGCCGTTGCTGTAGGAGATGAGGATCGCGTTGAGGTTCACGGCGCCGGCGCCACGGCCTCCGGCTCCGGCGCGACGGACGCGGCCGACCATCGCTGCAGCCTCCTGCTCCCGGGCGTGGCGAAAAGAGTGCACGCGGCGCTGGCTGAGGAGGTGGAGCACGCAGACGCGGCGCGCCTGGCGCCAGTACTCGCCGTAGGGGGCGAAGGCCATGTCGCGGCCGTAGAGGAGGCGCTCGGCCATGCGCACCCTGGGGCGGCTCGCGAACGCCAGGTCCCGGGCCTTCATCACCTCCTGCGCCGCGGCCGCCGAGGAGACCACCACGGTGGGCACGCGGCCCAGGCGCAGGAGCATGACGGGGCCGTACGACGCGGCCATTGATCGAAGCTTGCGTTGAGGTAGGGAGCCAAGAAGGGGCAGGTGGCCAAAGAGGGGAAGCCCCGGCGGCGACGGCGGCAATCGCCGCCGGCCATCCCTGCTGGACGGAGAACCCTTCCTCCTTCTGGCGAAGAGGAGCAGGGAGAGGAGAGCAGCCAGCAGCAGTGCAACAAACGGTGAGACGTCCATATCTGGCACTGCGCCGAGCTGAGGTCAAGTGAGGGAGGACGAGGAGGTGCATGGTAATACGGCGATGCTGTTGGTACATACAAAATGCATGATTGAGGACACACCGGCATTATCCTCTTGTATGTAGAGCACCCAAAATATATATAGGGAATTATATTCCACGTATAAGCATGAAGCACAAGTTTTCCACGACACGTCATCATCAGTGGCAAAAGCTAGGCTCCAAATCAGAGCCATCTAGAAAATTGCGTTTGGAAACTGAAAACACCACTAAAGGTCAGGATTTGTCCGTGGTAGCACAGTCTAGCAAAGCGAAGCCGACAAGGTAGCAAGACGTATTGTTTTATTTTAATTTATTCATGAAAACAAAAATAAAAACCTGATTGTTACTGAATCGTTTCACAGACAAAATGTAATAATTAAATGCTATGGCTACCATATGAAACTACAAAATGAATGAAGTTGTATATTTGAGTTCTTGTTTCCTCGTCAACCAAACCTAGTTATCTTTAGATAAAATGTGACACTCTAAATCATAAAATGACTTTTGCCTTAGAAGAAGTATCATCAACAGCTCTTTTATTACTCTGATTCCCAAAATTGATGGACCAATCTGTGTAAATGATTTTAGACCCATTTCCTTACTCAACTCTTCTGTCAAAATCATCACCAAGCATGGATTCATGATATATATAGAGATAGCAAAGTTTCAGTCTCAAGCTAGAACTACACAATCCTAATTGACACCCTTGTCTAACTTATTATTAGATGAGACATTTAATTAGACCGCTATGGCTACCGTATGAAACTGCAAAATGAATGAAGTTGTTTATTCGAGAAGATAATAACTTTCTATTTTTAAGGAAAGACAATATGGAGCTTGCTTGATCACTATATTGATACGAAGTCAATAGGGAAGCAAAGATCAAATTCTTGATGACATGGAATTTAGATGAATGCTTATTGTGATATGGACCTGTATGTGACTCAAGATAGCAAGAAGGTGAAGGGTTGGCATTGACTTGCATATATATAAGTTTTTATATGGTATGGTTGTTTTTCTTGATCAAACATACCATGTATAAAAAAAACCAAACAATAAACCTTCACAATTTCTATTCACACCACCACGCGCCACCGGACCACCGTGCTGAGATACCAACAAAAAAACGCCCCAGGGCCACAAAACCGCTTGAGAGAACGATGGATCCATGCATGGGGCCGCGGCTCTGGTCGCCGGAGAATTAGAATAGCCTACAAGAGTGTTGTTAAAAGGCATGTGCCACCCGCATGACATGTTTGTGCCGCCAGACGAGGAACGCCCTGCTGCCACCTTCCTTACGGGTGTTTTACCTTTAGACCCCAACTCGGGCGAAGGCAAGGAGAAGAGAGGCGAGGGAGAGGACATCTGGTGGCAGCTCGACGAGGAACCCCAAGCTGCTTGTGTGGGAGCGACGCGGGAGAAAAGTGGCAAAAACAAAATGGTAGATCTCCAAATATTGTCATCTTCTATTTCGAATTTCTTATTAACCAAAGATGATGGAGAGTGGAGCTAGCACTCCAAAGTACGCACAAGATATAGAGAAGATGCTTGGGGTGAAAAGATATCGAGAGCGATTTTTATTTAAACCTCTATCTGAATAATAATTTAGAAAATGGGTTTAAGAACAAAAAGTTAGAGATGCTCTAGTAGTTTGGTTGGCATTTGTGGTTGTTGTTTTTCAAATTGACACTGCTATAAACAGGAAACCAGAATTTTCCTGACATTTGTGGTCGGTAATTTTTCAACCAATTTGTATAAAAACCCCCTTGATCCTTTGACACGGCTAGAAATAGGAAAAATGAATCGAAAAGACTAGTGCCCGGACGTCCGGACGGTTGCACGCATCCGGACGCCCGCGCCTGCTCCGGCCTGCTCTCTCGTATTCACGCGCCACTCGTGTTCGGACCGCTCCCTTCCGCTCCGCTGCACACGCCGCCCGGATGACTCGGCCCTGTCTCTTCCACACCGGCACCTGGACCGCCTTTTGCACACCGCTTCGCACCCGCCTCTTCCACACCGGCTGCGCGGCCGGTGCCTCCTCCCCACATCGACGCCGTCATGGCTCCCACGCTAGCTCTCTCTTCCTCGCTCAACAACACTACATCCAAATCTAATTTTGCAACATTCAGATGAACCAATTGCAACATACATCTAAAACAGATGAAACATTTAGAACATACATTTGCAACATAGCCATTGCAACATATGCAACATCCAGATAAAATACTTGCAACATATGTCTGAAACAGATAAAACATTTTAAACAAACTCTTACAACATACATGTATAACCATTGCAATATGTGCAACATCCGAAAACTACCATCCATATGAGACATCTGGAACATACCTCTAAAACATCTAAAACACTTTAAACATGCGTTTTGCAACATAGGGAAGGCTAGGGCTGGTCGATTCCATGCGTCAGGGTGGGAGCCAACGACGAGCGGCGGCGCGCGAGCGCTGCCAGCACCAGCACCAGTAGCGGTGCGCGAGCACCACCACCATTAGCATCACTAGCATCGGCCTTGGCTCAATCGGGCAGGCGGCGCATGCAACGAGTGGGAGCAGGCTGCACGTGCGACGGGAGGGAGGGAGCAAGCACGGAGTGGGCGGGGCGTGCGGCATGCAACGCGGACGGGCGATGCGGATTTAGGCGCATGGCGCTGGTGAGCGGTGCGTTGGGTCGGTCCGTCTGGACGGACGCACGTGGCATATCATTATCAAAAATGAATTTCCCTGATGGTTCTTCGAAGCCATATAGGAAACACAAACATTCTAAAGAACTATCATAAACTTGAATCTAGGAAATAAAAACATTCTAAAGAACCATCATAAACTTGCATCTAGATGTTGTACAATTATTCACTTTAGGTGCGTACATGACACTATGACTATACAATGCAACCAAAATCACCCACGTATGTTTAAATCCCACTACCAACAAAGGCATGCATGATGATCTTACTGACGACACCACGGCTTAGCAACCAAACACAGGTTCGCCTTGAGCCGCACGGACAGCCCGTTCAGCTCGTCCATCTCCAGCTTCGACGGTCCTCCAGCCGGCAGCTCCCAGTCAAAGTGATACAGCAAGCTCGACAGCGCCAGCTCCATGACCGGCACAGAGAACCCCACCCCAGGACACCCTCTTCTTCCAGCGCCGAACGGCACGAACCTGAAGTCCTGCCCGAGCAAGTAGTCCGTCGTGAGGTCGTCGCCGGCGAACCGCTCCGGCACGAACTCGTCCGCACGCTCCCAAGTCGCGGGGTCCCGCGCGATGGCCCAGGCGTTGACGATGACGCGGGTGCGCGCTGGGACGTGGTAGCCGAGCAGCTCCGTGTCCACGGTCGTCTCATGGGGCAGCAGGAGCGGCAGCGGCGTCCGCAGCCGGAGCGTCTCCTTGATGACGCACCTGAGGTAGCGCAGCTTCTCGAGGTGGTCCTCGGTGACGCGGTCGCCGCCGGCGACGGCGACGGCCGCGCGGATCTCGTCCTGGACCTTGCGCATCTCGTGTGGGTGGTTGATGAGCTCGGCCATGGCCCATACCAGCGTCGTGTAGGTCGTGTCCGTGGCGGCGGCAAACATGTCCTGCATGTATAAAAAATAATGTGCGTACGTAAATACGTGTCATAGCCCACGTCCGCGAAAAAAAAAATGTGCGTACGTAGCAAAAATTGAGCCGGACAAATGTTGAACATACAGACATGCATGTAAATTAATTATTTCTGCTGGCGGAAAAAAAAACGTCAATATAAAATCAGTACCTATAGTACGTGTGGTTGGTAAATTAATTCGTAAGTTCGTACCAGGATAATGGCCTTGATGGCCACGTCGTCAAATTTGGCTCCACTGGCGTCCGCCTCGTCGTCGTTCACGTCCAACAGCACGTCGACGAAGTCCCGGTGATCGTCTTCGTCACGGTGGCCGCCACGGCGCCTCTGTCGGTGGTCCGAGATGACCCGCTCGAGGAAGGCGTCCATCTCCGCGGACGTGCGCGTGGCCTTGGCGTCCAGCCCCATGAGCGCGTCGACCCACGCCAGCCACGGCACGAAGTCCCCCATGGTGACGGTCCCCAGGAGCCCCTCGAAGTCGGCGAACAGCTTCGTGAGCTTCTCGCCGCCGTCGGGGCCGTCGTAGTAGCTCCCTCCTTTGTCGCCGAACGCGGCGCGGGAGATGATGCCGTTGGTGTAGGAGATGATTTGGGCGGTGAGGTTCACGGCGCCGCCGCCGTCGCGGCGGACGCGGGCGAGCATCGCGGCGACCTCCTGCTCCCGGGCGTGGCGGAAGGAGGTGACGCGGCGCTGGCTGAGGAGGTGGAGCACGCAGACGCGGCGGCCCTGGCGCCAGTGCTCGCCGTAGGGGACGAAGGCCACGTCGCGGCCGTAGACGAGGCGCTCGGCCATGCGCAACCTGGGGCGGCTCGCGAACGCCAGGTCGTGGGTCTTCATCACCTCCTGCGCCGCGGCCGCCGACGAGGCCACCACCGTGGGCACGCGGCCGAAGCGGAGGAGCATCACCGGGCCGTGCGCCTGCGCCATTGCCCACAGCTTCCGGTGCGGCAGGGGGCCCAGAAGAGGCAGGTGTCCCAGGATAGGAAAGCCCCGAGGCGACGGCGGCAGCCGCCGCCGGCCATCGCCGCCCAGCGTCTTCCTCCCGGTCCCGGTGGAGAGGAAGAGGAGCAGGGAGAGGAGGGCAACGAGCAGCAGTGCAAGGAGCGGTGACACGTCCATGTTTGCACCAGTGCTCTCACGTATGGTATGGATGGATGGTCCATTATTGAGAACCGAGCAAGATAATTGTAGTCAATGTTTGCACTAGTGAAGCGAGCAAGATAATTGTGGTCCATGTTAGCACCAGTTTTCTCACGTATGGAATATAGACTTGTGTGGATGATCGTGGAAAATGAAGATGGCGACGGCGGTGCGCGCGATAAGATGGGGGAAGATGATGACAAATGGGTTCCGTTGGATCTGTTTTGGTTGATGGAAATTGAAAATGAAGACAATCCCTGTAATTCAGAAAACTGACAGAAAAAGAAATCCAAGTATACAGATAAGCAACACATGTTTTCCAAGGTCAGCAGCTAGGTTCCAAAGCAGCCCCATGGTCCCCATATCACAGCTACGGTCAAAATGGGCACTGTAGAGAGCCAGACTTCTCCGCCTCACCTGTTAAGTCAATTGGCGGAACAAATGATCCCTTCTTTCCTGTTGGAAGTGTTGTTCGCCTGAACGGCCGTTTAACCCGTTTACACACCGTTTAAACGCTACACGGTGGTATATCTTTTCCGTTTAATCGGTTGTTTTGACCATTTAAACGGCCATTTTTCCCCTTTAAACACCCGTTTTGCCCGCGTAATGGGCTAAACGGTAGGTGACCGATTGTTTACCGTTTAGCGTCTAGGATAACATTGGAAGTGAGATCTAGCTCCTTGAATCGATAGAGTTCGGACTCCCTGTAACATGTTTAGCACATTCCTACCCGACGGATCTGCCAAGGCAAACAAGAGACTATTTTTACAACACTATCAAAATGCTGTCCATTTACAGCAACACTAACCAAAACATCAGTCCATGGATACATATATGCAATTCATCAACAATCAAAAGCATTACAACACTAGCATCTAGCGCCGATGCAACACTGAAACGGCAGTTACAAATGAATTCTCTGCATCTACATAGGGGAGTCGACAATAAGCACCCGCATGCAGACTGCCAGACTATCCAGTATCCACAAATAGCAGTTTTGCAAACTAAATACATACGAAAAGAGACAAGCGAAACAAACAACAAGCCCTAGAGAATCAAACCAACCAACCGAGCAAATCGCCATGCTCCATATCTTCTAGCATTCACAACCTGACGAACGTTGTTGCCTTCCAGCGCCTCCAACATCAATTGTATCAGGAAGATACCTACAAAAGTTGGTAAAACATAGAACAAGTTACACCATAAGGCAGCCTGTATGTATAATATTCATCTGAGTTACACTATTCAAACTTACATATCTTCTTCTGGCTCATTTTTGACAGCATTCCTGGCTATACACTCAAAAGCAGCCTCTACATTGAAGCCTTCTTTAGCAGACGTCTCAAAGTAAGGTATGTTTCCCTTTGAAGCACACCATGCTTTAGCTTTTTTCTCAGAAACCTGAACAGTGGAAATCAAACAAAATTAACAACAGTACAGAATAAACCCAGTGGAAGCAGGAGCAGGTAGCAACTCGTGAAGAGAAATACTCACCGTCCGGCTGTTGCCACCATCAACATCAATCTTGTTCCCAAGCACAACAAATGGGAAATTCTCCGGATCTGACGGGCTAGCCTGCATGATGAACAGTGGGTCTTTTTTTTGCAAACACAGTGAAGTACATATAGATTGCTAATAAGCATGTTACTTACTTGAATTAGGAATTCCTCACGCCAGTTGTTGAGCTTTTCAAATGACTTGGTAACATTCACATCGTATACGAGAACACAGCAGTCAGCTCCCCGATAAAATGCCACACCAAGACTTTGAAACCGCTCCTGTCCTGCCGTATCCCATATCTAAGCTTCAGTGAAACAAAACTGTCGTAAGCTAAAATGTGAATGATTGCTAATTCCATCACACTAAGAACACATATGACAAGTCCCATTCAAATGAAAAGGAAAGGTTAGCATCAGTTTCATAAACAGTAATTGCATATAAAAACATTGCTACCCATGATTGAATTAGTACCTGTGAGTCTGTGACGTAACAGCTATCTAGTCAATCGTGATAAAAACAGGCAGGTATGTGCTGAGTTGAACCAAAAATTCTATTTATTCAAATGCACCACATGGCCAAAAAAAATATTTACATGATACAGATAATAAACAAAAAGACTAATGAAACATATCCCTCATTTTAGATAAGGGCAATGATATGATAACTGATAAATGGCAAAATAAAATTATGGACATAATAGCCCTTGTCATTTCCTTTTCAGTTACATCTCTTTTTAAAGAAACAAAACATGATGACTAATGACCTCTAATGCTTGACATAGTAAGTACTGCAAAGAACATGATAATCTTATAGCACCTCTCCACAGCATCATTCATTATGAGCCAGACAAATCTAAAATATCTTGGCTAACCCATGAAATTTGGGTTGTGCCGAAATGGAAGTAATGAAAGGAAAACAGCTTTTTAAGGAACTGGGGAATAATGATTTTAAGTAGCAAACAAATTCAATAGAGAGTAACAGACACAAACATGTGAAAAGGAGCATCATAGGCTTTTTAACAGGGTGGTACCCAAAAAGCAGAAAGCGGTATAATATTAATTAGTAAAACTTCATCTCTCAAAAGTCAAGTCTTGAAAGGAACTACTCGGCACAACCCCAAAATATCCTTCAGCCACTCAGCATCTCCAATAAGCAACCCACACGATAGTTAAGAAGCACACGGCACTATATAACAATCAATTAATGAATGTTGCCGTACGATCTAAGCAGCCAGTGTACCAGCCTTGTCAAAGTGTTAGGCAAATGAAGGTGATAGTTGGTTGATTCAGACTCTGAGCACAGCTAGTCGGATTGTGAACACGCTTCATCTAGAGAGAGAGCACAGGATGACCGGACTGAAAGCCTGAAACTGAACGGACCCCTCCGAATCGGGCACTACAGCGATCACATTGGAGGCGCACGGGAGCACACACCCCAAACTAATCCGGTCTCGGGTTCCTAGATAGATCCCAGATACTGTAGGTACCCCAAGGCAAGTGAAGAGAAAACCTAAATAAATGGTACTGTAACAGTTAGACGACGAAGCAAGCAGACCTGCAATGTGAAGAGGCGGTCGTCGATCTGGACCTCCTTGGTGAGGAAATCCGCGCCGATGGTGGCCTTGTACTGGTTGCTGAACTTGTTGTTGACGTACCTGCGCGCGCACAGAAACCAAACCGAGAAAATCGGTCCCCGATGAACCAACGCAGCAACGAAGTAAAGTGAAATCGAGGGATCGGACAGGGGCGGACTTACTGGTTCATCAGCGAGGTCTTGCCGACCCTGCGAGCAGACACGGGCGCACGAGGGGTCAGTCAGGATTCAGGAACCGGCGCAAGCAATCAAAGTAGCAAACGAACAGACAGACAAAAAAATGGGAGCGGAATGGAAAGGGGGAAGGGGAGCCGGCCGCACCCGCTGTCGCCGAGGATGATGACCTTGAGGAGCATTCGCCTGCGCGTCGCCATGGTCGCGAGGCGCCGGATCTGGGCCCGCGGACGCGGGCGGATTCGGAGCGTGTGGACGCGGTGCGGACACGGCGACGAGGAGCGGAGGACGGGAGGAGGAAGAGCAGAGGACCCGAGGTGGAGGACGGGGTGGGAAATTCCGCCTCGCGTTCTGGGGGATTCGCGTCGGGATTGGTGCGCTGTTGCCTGCTGGCTTGGAAGGTCTCTTCTCTTTCTCTTTGGTCTTGGGTTTTATGTTGCTGCCGTTGGCTTGTTTTCTTTGTCGGTTTGCTTGCCTCTCTGCCTGATTGGTGATTTGTGGGGCGACTGCCTGCCTCTCCCTCTCTTGAGCCTGCTCTGCTGTCGCCTCGTGTTTTCTGATGGCACACTGCACATGCACAGCGTTCATCTTCCCGTTCTCTCGTCTGGCCCTGTGCTGTGCATGCAAACTGCCAACCAGCTCAACACATGGTCCTGGCGCTGTCGTCTCCAGGTGTGTACGTACTCCTACTAGTACTCAGCAGTCAGCAGTTCAGCACAGCCTGTATCCGTGTGTCTGCATTGTTGTCACTGTCAGTATGCTGCAGTATGCCCCCGAATTAACACCACAGACGCGGACGGCTCAAACTCCTCCACGCAGCCGTGCTCCGCGGGTTGCTCATCCCGTGTCGATTTCGTGCAGCCAGTCCAACGACAGTTTTTATCCGCTCTGCTCATACTCATAGCGTCAATAATCAGTTTCTAAAAGAGTCATGAATTTATACAAGATACTCCGTATGCCTCATGTAAAACATTCTCAGTGGCGGCGAGATCGCACGAGACCAGTGAACTGAATCTACCCCCAAAAGGAACAAAAAAAAAGCTATCTCAACCGAACAAATCATCTCGTTCTCCCGGCAGCAGGCCAGCAATCAATCAGCTAGCTAAGGTTCTAGGTACGTACTAGCTAGGAGGACGAGTGGAGGATTTACAGACGCGCGGGGGGCTGGCACGCCTCACGACTCACGACGCCGCGGCCGCGCTGTCGCCGTCTGTCTTCACGCTCGCCGCCGGCTCCTCCGCCTCCTGCGTCGTCGCCGTCGTCGGCGTCTGGCCGCTGCTGCTCTGGAGCCCGCTGCCGCCCAGCGCCATCTTCCGGAACTTCTTCAGGTCCTCGTTGTACTGGTTGGTGTCGTAGTCGGACGCCGAGCTGCTGTATGATACCATGAACCGGCTGTGCCCAGGCCGCACGCCTTCGTTCAGGTCGTCCAGGGAGACGTCGCCTTCCAAGGCCCGGACAACCTGCGTGGATCAGGCAGAAAGAGCAAATAATTTCTTCTTAGAATTCATCGTTGAAGCAACACGAAACTAGATTAGTCAAAACTAATAGTACAACATGTCCTCATCAATCAAGCAGATAACGATAGCAGAGTATACATAGGTTAGCTGAACCACTGCCATGCTGAAAAACTGATTACCTGAAACAGTGTTGGGACCTCTTATTTGTTACTCCTACTGAATAACTGAAAGTAGAGAATAGTTCACTTGTATACC